TTTATTTAAATAGATCACACAGAATGCAGTTTAAAAGATAACTCTCATTTGTTGTGTTCCTTGAATCCCGATTTGCACTGTTACCCAAAGGTCGCAAATAGTCCAAAAAGTTAGGGACGCAAACGTGCACAATACTGACGGCGGCCATGCTAACCGAAAATTATCCAACTATTGCCATTTCTTTTAACGTGAGCGTAAACGAAAATCGTGTGGTAGAAAATAATAAGCGGCCATGAATCTTCAATGTTGACAGAATGACAGGTTTTTGTCCATTTTTGATGAGAAAAATAAATTTGTAAAAAGGATTAAAATTAATGCTATACTGTTTTTGGTATTCGTTGTTCCGAAGACATCCTTACATCAAGTGTCAAATATCTCAAAAACAGTAGACTTTAGGTATAGGAAAGCGTACACAAAAAAGATTCAAAATTGTTCTTAGAATACGAATTTTTAGTTCTAAGTATGGTATACCATTGAAATTATTGCAGTAACATAACCTCATAAGTAGATCGACCGAAAACCTTCGATTGAACCGGAAGTTTTATTTTTGTTGTGGGACCCTTTAGTGCTAAAATGAGTTAAAAATATCGTAAAAGCTTCAACCTTCTTGCCATTGTTTGCTGTCAAAACTAAAATAATAGTTATTTATGATATAAGTGCTAAAAGTGACATTTTATTTTGTGAAAAGGGAAGTTTGGGACACGACGCCGAAGGCGGAGTGTTCCATCCCTTTGAACAAAATAAAATTACTTTTAGCATGAATATCATACACTATTTTTTCTAGAAACGCACTAAAAGTGATTACTTTTAGCACTAGTGCTAAAAGTAATCACTTTTAACACCAGTGTCATAAAATGGCATTTTAGACACGGACAGCGTCCGTTAAAAATGACACTTTTAGTGACGTTTGTAGAAAAAAATTATTTTTTGACATTTTCAATCGCGATTTTCTTGAAAACTCTTAAAGTTAGGTATAGGATATTATACATAAAATATGCTTAGAATTTCTCATAGAATCCAAAAATGTAATAATATAGGGGGTGATCTAGTTGAAATAAAGAAGTTGATGGCACTTGCGGTCAAACCAGAAGTGATAGTCGATTGTTTTTATAGCGAAATTCTGCATCGATATCAATAATATACATCCTCAAAACTTGAAATCGATATTGATATTCATGTCTGAACTAGAGCTTGGTCAGTAATCTCGTGGTCACCCGGTATATATTTTTTCAAAGTTTTATATACCGGGTGCCCACGAGATCACTTTCCGGCACACCCTGTAGATTTTCTGTTTTTCAGATTCTACAGATCGTTTTACGTCCTAATGCACCACTTTTGAATCAAGTTTTGTCCAAATTTTGTTTTTAAATTAAATTTCAATTTTTTAACTAGAGTGCCATGATCATCCTGAAATGACTCTACATACTTTACTTAATTTCAGAAAAATACAAACTGAATTTTATCTTTGTAAACTTTTTTGATAGAGGGCTGTAAACTTCATTATTTTAGTATTTTTGCCCTAGCTCAAAAACTAGAATAGGAACATATCACTTTCATAAAATTACTAAATGCAGTATTTTGATGCGAATCCAACGATATAATACACTACGACATTTTTCCTAATTTTCGTTCAAATATTTTTGTTTTATTATGTAGGTTATTATTTTTTTTCTACTTAAAATTTAATATGAAAACGAAATTTGGACAAAGTTCGATTTAAAAGTGGTATATTAGGACGCAAAACGATCTGTAGAATCCAAAAAACAAAAAATATACAGGGTGTGCCATTTGGAAATCGAAAGTTTCGGTAAGTTCCGGTGAAACCGGAAGTCAGGAAAACTTGTCATGAATGCACAAAAATGGCATTTCGTTAGAATATCAAGCCTACCAAGTTTCGTTGATATCAATGAACAAATAAAAAAATGGCAGCCGGAAAGTGATCTCGTGGGCACCCGGTATATCGAACTTTGCACTGTGCCAAATTCGATATATATAATATTTTTTCAAGTTTTATAAATATTGATATTGTTTTTCCTGCAAAATATTTTACATATAAGACGAAATAATTATGGAACATATGGCGCCCCATATTTCCGTCAGTATTATTGCCCGTTTATACCATGAAATGCTCACTGAATAGGTCTTTGAAACATAAACAATACCGCTTGGCCCTGATTGGTGGCAAACTGAGGAATCTGCGACTGAGGCTGAGGTGTCCCTGCAGGTTGACATCAGTATTACCTGGAGTTTTACAATGCATTTCGTGCAAATGGCATCTTGCGACCAATAAGCGGCATTGTTTATGTTCCAATGTTGACAAATCAAAATCTATCTTGGGAAAAAATAGAGTTTAGTAAGTACATTTTGAGAGAGCAGTTTTTGACGATTTCCATAAATTGCAGTGGCTAAATAAACCTTTATTTTTAACCATATATGAAATGTTGTCATTACTGACTTTTCAAAAATTTAAAAATGTCACATTTCTGTTTTTTCATTTTCCTGCTCCATTACCTGTCCCAGGACGGGAAGTGAGGACGGGAAATTTTTTCCGTCCTCATTTCCCGTCCACGGACGGAAAATGGAGCAGGGAAATATTTCCCGTTCTCATTTTCCTCTTCATTTGCCGACCTCATTTGGTTGCCCCGAATTTTTTTTTTTCAAGAAATTATGGTTAAAAATAAAATAGTATACTTACAACCCTCGACGGGAAACTTCATTGATGTCTCGAGGTTCAGTTTATCTCGACGCTACGCGTCTCGATAAACTATAAAACCTCTCGACCAGTAATGAAGCATTTCCCGTCTCGGATTGTAATATACTATTACATACAGTGGCGACAATAGAGTAAATAGAGGTTTCGCCGCCATCTTGTTCCCAACCTCTTGTTACGTTTAAATAATAATATATAGGATTTAACATCTATCATAAAAAATTGAAATCGACGTATTTGATGAGCACTATTAGGTCCATCAAATACTAGTAAGATAAACGTAGCTCCATAACATTGATGAGGGTGCAACAAATTAGCAACAAGCTGATTTCAGCGGAAATGTTTAGTAACCGACCTCCTATTTAACCTCCCAAAAGTCCCATTCAGTCCTAGGGGTGGAAGGTTGAAAAAAATGGCCGCCATCTTGGATTTTTATGTTTTTTTCAAATATTTCAGTTTCTATTAGTTTTTTCAAGAAAACTTAACAAACCTTTTTTGTGGAGCATTTAATTCTCTGTAAAAAGTGTCTGTACATTTTTTTTGGACCATGACGGATAACGGAGATATGGTTTTTTTAGAATTTGATTTATAAATTTTTCACTTTTGTTGAAGATCCAAAAAAGTGATCCACCAAAGTAAGTAGTATATTCGCTCTGTATAAATTGCAAGTTTTTATGGGTCTCTATTGGTCATATTGATCGTGTGTGGAGTCATTTTGTTTGTGAAATTGTGATTTTTTCAACCTTGTAAAACTTGTTCTGGACTTCATTCTTGGTAAGCCAACAAATCCAGTTTAATTATTGGGACTCAAATAGGAATAGAAAAAAAAACACAAATTGTATTACTTATCAGCAGCACAAAAATTTGCAATCTCATTGGTCGGCCAGTTATTCGCCAACGAATAGAATAATAGAATGATATAAAAACCCAATCTGTAATCTCATTGGTTGGCCAGTTATCCGCCAACCAATAGAATAATAGAACAATAAATTTATCTTGCAGTTAGTTACCAGCAAGTTTATCTGAAGATGAATGAACCGGGCCTAAGCCAAATAAACATTCTGTATTAAATTTTATTCCTACCATAATCAATCTTGATATGGATCTACCTGTGATAAGGCCTGCTTCCAAAAGGAAGACTAAAATTAGCTTTTTGGCTAACCATGTGACATTTGTCGCAAGATTCTATGCAGAAATTGCTCTGGAGTAAGGATCTCTGAGATCCGAGTTCTGATAATGAAAGAACGCTGCCTAAGATATTTTTGTTGTCCAAGCTGTATGGACTGTTTCCAAGCACTACCGGGGTTTAACTCAAGACTTCACGAATTCGAAGCAAAGATGGAAAAGCTCAAAACCAAAAAAAGAGTTGTGCTATCCAATGGGCTGGAAGACACCTGCAAAGCCATTCTGGATTCTAATAAAAAACTTGTTGCATTCATGTCCAAGTCCTATACACGCCTGGCAACTAAACATCTTGCATATCAATTTTAATGCGATAGAATAAAATGTCTAAAGAAAGTCTAAGGTTGAATAGAGAACGGAAACGATTTCCTCGGTTCCACCTCTAGCATTCCCAGCGCTTTTTGCTGGAGGTGGAACAGGGGAAATCTTTTCTAAACATTTCGAAAGGGATAAAAGTAAAGAAATGTTTGAAATATTTACTATAAAAAGCTCTGTATCTCCGTTATCCTTTAAGTTACAAAAAAACGGTATGAACACTTTTTATAGAGAATTAAATTTTCCACAAAAAAGGTTTCTCGAGTTTTCTAAAAAAACTGATAGAAACTGAGATATTTGAAAAAAACAACAAAATCCAAGATGGTGGCCATTTTTTTCAACCTTCCACCCCTAGGACTGAATGGGACTTTTGGGAGGTTAAATAAGAGGTCACTTACTAAACATTCCCGCTGGAATCAGCTTGTTGCTAATTTGTTGCACCCTGACCCCCCAGATTGACTCAGCTATACGTTGTTTTCCATGATTTATGATGAATGTTCACCTAAATCCCATATATTCATATTTAAAAGTAATAAGGGGTTGGGAACAAGATGGCGGTGTTTTCAATATAAATACATATATGGGATTTTAGAACCAATCAAAAATGAGACAGCAATTGTCGCCACTGTGGGTTATAGAGTCACTGTACCATAAATCGCCCTTCCAAAATTAAAAGAGATTTGGCAACAACGAAATGATATTTTTGAGACTGATCCCTTGAATTACTTGGCACCCTGTATATCTAAGCTAGGTATTATTAAAAACCTATTAAGATTCTTTTCGGGACTCTTACCACTAGCATCATCCTCCAATCTACTTCCACTGAAAGTGCTATGACTTTCCTCATCATATTCGAGCAAATCACAAAAACTTGCATGATTTTTTGGTTCATATCTGGTTTCTCTAAATTCCAAAGCTTTTCTGGCTGTTGCTGAATCGCGGCTTGTTTCAAACTCCGAAATGCTTGATTTTGAATCGCTGAGAGAGGAAGAGGAAATTTCGGGGGCATCCGACATCTGTGATGAACTGACCCTCAGTGGAGGGCTTTCATGACCACTAATTTTAAGTTTTTTCATTGGGGACTCCATCGTTATAATATGATATAATAATTATTTTACTGTGTATTTTGATTCTTTTCAAAGCAAGGCCATAAGGCCCATACAATTTTCAGTCAACCTCACTCACTACTCTAGTTTCGTAATCTCGTGTCTACACACACAACACAGTGCCACCTTAAATACCCTGACTCGTGACAAGAATAATAGAAATTTCGAACTCGGTAAAACGGTAAAATCAATCAGTTAAATTCAAAATGGTTAGTAGTGTCTAACCGGCAAAACTCCCACTGAATAAGTGAAGTGACCGAAGTGACATCACTCTTCCCTCCACTCAAAACACAACAAAAACAAAACAGCTGTCACTAGTCACAGTCACTAACTCACTAGTGTCAGTTTCACAATCGAGTGCCACCTTAGAGCAGTGCTACCAATTGCTACCCAGCCTAAAGCGTTGCCACATTTCAGTGGTTCGATTTGTTAAGCCGCGTACGGACTTTGCGAGGCTGCCGCAGTGCGAGCGGCCTCGCAGTACTTTTGAAGTGGTAGTAGAAGCTAAACACGAGGCAACGCGAGCCGAGTTGACTCGCTCTGAGGCAACAACAATGTCGCTCATAATCAGCAAACACGTACAAACTTGGGAAATGCCGCGCTACGAGGCTTCTTTGAGCACGACCACAAAACCGACTAAGCATGGCTCACCGCGAGGCTGCCTCTCAACGCGGCAGACAGTGAGTCGAGGCAGGTACTAATTTTGCGAAGCACGCCTCGGGAGGGCGTATTTTCCATTCTCTCAAATTATGGTTATTGGTGGTTATAGTCCTGCGTCTTTGATTGGAGAAATTTATGAAGTCTATTGTTCGTCGATTTTAATCTGATACTCGGACGGAATGTAAGCTGGTGGCTCCCTACATTAGAACGCCAATGATTATCTGACGTCACATCTGTTTTGGCCATATGAAACACCCCCTCGCTCCTCATACCGCAAGTATCAGTTAAAAATCGACGAACAATAGTGGTGGAGGAGTGAAACCTCTACGAGATTTTAATTAACTGGATTAACCATTGCAGCATGCGACCAATTATATACATAGTGCAAGTACACTCTCTAGGATGGCGCTGTCGGCGTCGCTCATAGGGCCGGTTTCTGAATAGCAGGTCACCTCCGGGTTAAGCTAACTCCAGGGTAAATATTGCAATTTGACACGTTAACCCTGGAGTTAAAACCAACCCGGAGGTGACTCGCTATTGAGAAACCGGCCCATAGTTAAGTGACTTGAGACTTAATAATCACAAGGATAATACACACTCCTACTTCAGGATGAGGATAGTCTATCCTCGTAAGGCCTGTGTGGAACAAATCTGAAGCCCCCAACCAACCAACACGCCAAATCACCAGTTGTGACGTAGAGCATGTCCTTTCTCGCCTTGACGTAGGCTTAGGCTGTTTGCACTTTTACCACTGCTTTATAAATACTTCGTTTTACTACACTAATTAACATTCAAAAATAATTTTGCATTCCTGTCTTAGATTTTTATAAACTTTTATTTGACACCAATTTTGAATTTAATCCATGATTAAAAATTTCAGTTAAATTAATTTCCGGTTAAATTCGAAGTAATGTAAAATTCAGCTTTCCTCTAGAATTAATTTAGGTTTTAAAGCCTGTCATAGTTGCAAAAAGTCAATTTTCAACTGTCAATATTTCCAGAACAGTTGAACTTATGTAGGTATAGGGTATATTACATGAAATCTGCTCAGAATTTTAGGTAGAATCCAAATATGCAGTCACATACAGGGTGTTCCATTTAAAATAACAAAGTTCTATATCGCATACCCCATAAACAGAGCACCCTGTATATTCAAAAATATGTTTAACTATAATGTATATTAGAGCATCAAACAATTTTGTATATATTTTTTTTTCCTTGCATCACCCTGTAAGGAGATATCGTGGACACGCTCTATACTTGGTTTAATTGCATCAATTAACATTCTACGTCTACGACGCTTTTTTAAATCTCGTTTGCATCGTCCTCTTTGCTTATTATGTTAATCAAAATTAAATAATATTTTTCATCTTGAATGTATATTTTAAGCTACGACCACTGGCGCAAACAGCTGCCGACGTTGTCAATGGTGCTACCTTAAACTCTATTTTAAACTCTCATTTTACGTGATTCCACGTCAATAGTTGAGGTCTGCGGCTGACGTCACAAATAGTGGGGAGTTGTCGCGAGTGGACACGGCAGAATAATTTTTTCTTCATTTGAAAATCGACGTGAAAATTAACTCACCAGCGCAACCTCAATCGCATGTATTCCATCGAAGTCTGTGGATGACGTCAACACTATGGGCCGGGTTCTCAATACCGAGTCACCCCTGGCTTGGTTTTAACTCCAGGGTTAGCGTGTCAAATTGCAATGTTTACCCATGAGTAAGCTTAACCCGGAGGTGATCTGCTATTGAGAAACTGACCACAGCTGATAGTTGTGACGTCACCCGCAGATCAGCTCTCGGCTCGAGAACTGGCGAACCTACGTCTTTATTAGAATGAGCAGTCCTGTTTGGTGGAGTATCCTTGGCAAAAGGATATCAAACCACAAAAAAGGATTGCTTATGGACAATTTTTCGGAACAAATTTATAGTGTGTGTACTAGCACTGTTGCTGACGTCATCAGTTTTTCCGTCAGTTGTTTGCACCAGCGGTCGTAGAACCGTGCGTTCGGTATTTTGATTTGAGTTCTTCGAGCTTGAATTCACCGTTCGTTTATTTGAAAAGTGTACTCGGTGCAGGCTCATTCGCGTTCGTTTATTAATAAAATTTCGGGCACTCGAATACAAGTTGTATTCCTTTCAAGAGTTTCAAACACTCGAGCTACTCGCTCCGGTGTTCAGTCGCCCCCGATTTGCAGGGAACAGATGCGTGGTGCAACAAACACTTTTCGAAAAGAATAAGCGCGTGAAGCCCCGGAGCTGTCCGGAGCTCGTCCTAAGGAATACAACTACAGCGTTCAACTGCTCTGTTCGCTCGCTGGTCACGTGTTACGGCTCCGCTCAACACGCTCTGCTCTCTGATAGTTCTCTGACTGTTTTCAACCAATGAAATTCGCTCTGACTGGTTTGTGATTGCTGTCAGACCCAGGGCCGTGCATAGGGGGGTGCGGCTGGTATAAATTCCGAGGCCCGGGTTCCGTAGGGGCCCGGCTGCATCTAAACATTCCGGTATGAAGCCTAGTACTCATAACTGCGAAATTCGCACTTTTTTGACATTGCTTCGACAATTTGACGTTTGATATACGCATAAAACGTCAAATTGTCAACGCAATGTCAAAAAAATGCGAATTTCGCAGTTATGAGTACTAGGCTATAGGATTCGGCACCTACACTTTATTTTTTTCCAAGATAGATTTTGACATTGTCAGCTTTGAAACATACACAATGCCGCTGGCGCTAATGCCACTTATTGGCCGCTATTGTAAAACTGATGTCAACCTGCAGAAACACCACATTTTGCGACCAATCAGGGTCAAGCGTTATTGTTTATGTTTCAAAGTTTTCAATGTCAAAATCTATCTTGGGAAAAAATAAAGTATAGGCATATTTCATTGGTCCGTTTGAATTCGGTCCGCCAATTGATGCAGAGTGCCGAAATCGGTAGGGTAGAGTGGGGCAGGTTCGGACGGATTTGGTTAAGGTGATACCGAAACTTTTATTTTAGCTAAACTAATTGACCTTTTCAATTTAGAAGCCTCTCTCTCTCAAGGAGAATAAACTTTCTAAGGAGTGCTTATCGGCCCCTTTTTGGGTAATCGCCGCCATATTGGTTTTCAAATGTTCCCAACCACTGCTGACGTCATAACTAAGTCGCCAGCTGTTTGCGCCAGCGGTTTTATAAATTTATAAATTTGTCATGAAATAGTTATTTATGATATAAGTGTTAAAATAAAAGTACATTTTTAAGGCACGCATGTGAAAGTTTGCAGAATGAGCGAAGCGAATTCTGCAATTCACATAAGTGCTTTAAAAATACTTTTTACACAAATATCATACAATATTTTTTCTACAAACGGCAATAAAAAGCAATAACCACTAACAAATTGGATTTTTAAATGAATAATAAATTGGAAGCATCTTTCCTACATAAAATTCTTGAATTTGACATTTGTCAAAAAATCCATACAACCAGCACCTTGTTTTACAGGTAACGAAATGTCTTGTCAGTTTCTTGAAAGTATGTCGTGGTCAGGAATGCTTTTTGCTAAAAATGCAACAAAATACAGAAGAAAAAGAGAGTTGCATCGATCCTTCGAAAAATATAGATGAGGCGGCCAATCGGGCTACCTCAGTTGTTCAAATTTCACCATTATTATCAATGTAAATAACTGAAAATACAAACTTTTTTTGACGTCCTCTCTCAAAATTTGATGTTTCACTTTTAACACTAGTGCTATAAAGACTTTATGGCACTAGTGCGATAAAGTAACATTTTTAATGCTTCGGGGCGGTGTTAAAAATTGCATTTTTAACACGTTTGTAGAAAAAATATATTATTTTGATTCTGATTAACCATTATAGCGCGTAAAGGTACCTATGACGGAACCAATAAACATCAAGGTCAAAAGTGCGATCTGAGCGCGATATTTCGATATTTGGCTAGCTTTCGTCATTCCGCCTATTTACACGTTTTCAGCATGTATGATTTAATGGAGCCCTAGGAGAATTACGCGGCGTTTTGTTTACATTTCTTTATGTAAGTATAATAACTATAAGATAATTTATTCTATACTATTTAATTGTTTTTAGGGTTTTCTCATATTATTATAAAAACATATTCCTATTCGAGCATAAATTGATCGTTTGTTTATGTATTATATTCTTGTAAACATTACTGTCCCATATGGCATATGGGCCTGGGCAGAAGCTAACATTTTTAGCTGTACATTTTGTTTTAGTGGAATTAGCCATCAGGAAGTTTTGAATACTGCTTATGATAATGAAAATGTTGATGCCATATTATTGAGCCCACACAGAAAGCAAAGAGCTCACTGACTAAGATTCAGCAGATGAGGAATGTGGTTTAGCTGACCTATCTACTAGGCAACTTTGTGCTAGTGCAAACATTGTTTATTCGAATGGGAAATATATCACGGGTAGAGCAGAATTAACAATTTTTTGAGAAATCATACAATTTTAACTTTATTTTTATTTTCAGACATACCCGAGGAAATATAAAGTACCACCTTGCGCTACAGAAGAATATGCTTCGGGCTGCAAGTGATTTTTGAGTCAATAATGATATAAGGTATTATGGACTGCATCATCAT